CCCCCCTCCACAATTTTTGAAAATATGTGACAAATTCCTGGGGGCAGGGATAAAAACTTGTGAAAATGCACCCCGGGGACAGCTGGACTGTTTGGCTAAGAAGAGTAGGTTATCCAACTACCTGAAAATAAAGAGAATACTTTCTTCAACGTTTCGAGCAAATGCCCTCTGTTAATATATCAAGTATTGTGTGTCATACTCTAGCGCATTTTGCTGTCATCATGCTCTGGCGCATTTATTTTTTAAGTTTGCGGCGTGGTTCAAATTTATGCGTTTTTAAACAACAAGTTGACTGGTTTATATTTTATTGGTGATCATAAAACCTCAAAATCCTTTATTGCAAATGCCCCGCCCCCGGGCAAAAGTTTGAGTTCAAATGCCCAACCCCCAGGATGTACTTTACAGAAAATACCCTGTGATGGCCCGGGGGGGGATGGGCACGCTTGGATTTGACTGATGCATAATTCTGGAATATAGGAGTGCACCAGAACTCAATTAGAACTACAGTAACATCAGAACCCTTATTCTTTAGGGAGGCCAGAGCCAGAACTCAATTTCCCTGTCTTCATTAGGAATACACTCCAACTTTTTAAGGTCTTCATGATTTAAATTATCAGTGTATCTGACATTAGACAAAGTAACAATCATAAACATTTATTTGGTTAGATTACCTCAGTTTCTGACTGGAAGTGATACGTACTTGTCATGTTCTAGCCTGATCCTAGCTGTTCTATCTGGAACATAGTATTGGTTCCAGTGCAGCCCTACATATGTGGAACAAGTTCGGGACTGATAAGATTGTAGGTATACTGTGTGCAAGAGTACAAGGTAGCAGGACAGAAATTTAGGTGTGCAAATGTGCAATCCTGTCTGAATTAATTTGTGAATTCTATTCAAGTGCCCACTTAAATTAGTTAATATTTAAAACTGCCAATAATGGGCAACAAATAAAATTGTGTAGTCACAAAATAATATAGTTACTCAAGTGTGAAAGGTTATATTGGCAAAAAAATTCTCAACTGTGCACTTGCCATACTGGGTTTTGGCACAGCCCTACTGTGGAACGTGTCTGCAACTGATGATTGTCTGATGAAATTCATACATATTTACTGGCAATACATGCATGCCACAGTCGCTTGCCCTTGCTGAGCTGACCAAACAACTGTAGTTTTCAATAATTTTCCAACATGCTGTACTGCTAATTAGTTGAAGAGGAGGTAGGGATCGTCTCCCTAATCGTTTGCATGCAAGTGCACCCTCCTCATGTTAGGCAAATACTTAGCACAATCCCCAGTGGGTGAGAAATCAAATTTTCTTCCATCAGTTTTCTTCCTATCAAGATTTGTGTTATCGGCAGAGCCACCGAGGGGGGGGGGGGACTTTTCCCCAGGCCTGCAGCTCAAAAGGGGCTCCCAAAGCAACGAAGACCCTTAAAATTTCTTGATACATGATAGATTAATTGAGAATATATATCCTAGCTGTCTTAGGCTCAGCAGCCCAAAAAAGAGTAGAACTTGTGAAAAGTGAAAAACTACACCTAAAATTTGGGCAAAAAATGAACGATATTATGTACGGAAAACTTTTGGAGGGCATTATATATAATTTTAATAGCTTTAAATGAGTGTAATTCAAAAGCCTTAACACATCTCGGAGGAAGGATCGCAAATTTGACTTTCCATAATCCATATCCATGTTACTTTAAACAAGTTACAAAAAATTGAAAGTAACTTTTTAAATAGTCATAAAAACCGTGAAGTAACCTTGTAATGGTACTAACTACATGTGTAATTTTCACAAGGGTGGGTAGTAGCGAAGTAGTTGTAGTTCGCTACTGTAGCGAACTACAATTTTCAAGTAGCCAGTAGTTTTGACTACATTTTTAAAACAGTAGCTGTAGTTACAGCGAACTACATTTTGCCTAAAAGTAGCCAAGGCCCAAGTAGTTGACTACTTTTCAAACAGCAAATCGCTATTCACTACTTTTAAAAATTGTTAACAACTTGATAAAATAGCATGATATTGAGACACGGTTTGCTTAAAATCGATACTCAATAGACAATTTGCACTCCTGAACACTGTAGTGATTACAAAAATATTGCTTTGTGTTTACTGTGGCTACTCGTAAGTCGATTTGTTATAGGTTACATTACAATTTACAGTTCTGAGTTAGTATAGATGCTCCAAATACAGTAAAACTAAAAAATATAGCGTAGCGAAATAGCGAAATAGTTCGCTACATTTTTTGAGCAGTAGTTGTATAGTCAGTAGCGAACTACCTTTGTTCAAAAGTAGCATGTAGTATAGTTGTAGCTGACTACATATTTTTGAAGTAGCTGTAGTTATAGTGAACTACAAAAATTTTGTAGTCAACCCACCCTTGAATTTTTACCGGTTGCTACAATAGTTCCTTTTTTGAGCCTGTAACTAACTTGACTAGTTCCAAAAAATAAGTAAATTTTACAGCACTGTCTATATACTGTACTGTTCTAACTTACATGCATGAATGTGTTTTAATGATTGTTTTAAAATAGACAGTTTATATCAATGAAAGTGTCACATATCATTTCAGCTATCCAAATTATGTATTTCCTTGGATACGTTATGGGAAGAAAGTCCGTATGAAGTAATCCTTTTTCGCTGGATTCAATTTCTTCAAGACGAAACGTTGGATACTCTCAATATTTCTTCACCATTAATTTTAACCAAGATGAAATTTGCATCAAATGATCCTAGCTTTGATTCAAGAGCTGTGCAAGACGTTCCTTCATCCGCTGCTCTTCTTGGCACAATTCTTGATTTTGATCAACAGGAAAGAGAACGAGTGTTTCGGACAAGCCATTATTGCTGTGGTGTTTGTTTCTGCGAAAAGACTGGTAGTGCCTGCATTGCTTTCCCAAAGTGTGAACATGTATTTTGTACAGAATGTATTTCAGAATATTTTAAAGTTCAAATTGAAAGTGGTTCTGTGAAAGCCCTAAACTGTCCTGAAACTAAGTGTGAATCGCAGGCATTACCGTACCAGGTCAAGAATCTTGTTAGCCCTGATCTATTTGCCAAGTATGATAAATATCTCTTGCAGTCTAGTTTGGATGAAATGTCTGATATAGTTTATTGTCCAAGGCCTTCGTGTCAATCACCGGTAATTTTGGAACAAGATACAACAATGGGTGTTTGTCAAGTATGCCGCTTTGCCTTTTGTTCTTTGTGCAAATTCACATTTCATGGTGTGTCGCCTTGTGTCTTCAAACCAAACGAAGTTAGAAGGTTGAAAATGGAATATGAAAATGCAACAGAAGCAGAAAAATTATTCTTAGAAAGACGGTATGGGAAGAACCGAATCCGTCGTATGATTGATGAGTTTATTTCAGAAGAATGGCTGGTGGATAATTCCAAAACCTGCCCACGATGTAATGCTCATATTCAAAAATCCGAAGGTTGCAACAAGATGCATTGTTCAAAGTGTCATACTAATTTCTGTTGGTTGTGTGGGAAGATATTGGATCCTAAACATCCTTATCTTCATTTCAATCTGTGGAACTCGTCTTGCTTTAATAAATTGTTTGAAGGTGTGGAGGAAGATAGTGATTAAAGTGCAAGTCAATTCCGTTCTGCTCATGCACCTGCTTTGTTTACATAATTTGTTTTAAGTAATACATAATTAAAATTCCGACCTATGTGCCCACGTCCATTACACCTAGTTCCTCGCCTTTTCGCTTCCGCCTTAGTATTTTAGGGTGTTATTTTGATAATGTTTGTAGGTTGAGGTCACGCGAGAAGGCTTGGGACTAGGCCACAGAGGAGAGATATATCTCTCTCCTCTGTGACTAGGCTGTTCATACTGCATCACGGAAGATGAAGGCGTGCAGCTAAAAGGAAAAAGACACTAGTACACAGTAAAAGGAAAACGACACTTGTATAAAATTATGTACCTTAATTACCTAAGTAAGAACAACGAACAATTCTTATAACGGACTGTTCCTATGAAGATGCGTGTATAGAGAACAACCTAAACTATATGAACCCAGGCTATACAACAGATATACGAGTATATAAGTATACAGGGCCGGAACTACTGAGGGTGTGGGCGGTGTAACACCCCCGTCCCAAAGAAAATTCAAGAAAGGGGGCCCAACTTTCCCAGAGGGCAGAGGGGACCCGAAATGCTGGAATTTCGGAACGTGTTAAATATTAAGGAATATTCTGAAAAATTGAGGTTGGAAAAGGTATATACTTTACGTTATATTTTGAAAAAAAACCCGTCGACCTC